GAATGAAATAGGTCTTCGGTATTAGAATCTGTGTAAATGAACTATACACATGTCTGATGTCAGATGGGACTTATTCAGCAGGAAAGTTAGTGAGGCTTTCCACTTGTGATATAATTCTGTGAAGCAGAATATTGCTTATTTCCTCAGGAGTTATTCCCTAGATCTTTATCACATTCTTACATGTAAATTAAATAGTAATTATGCCATGTTGAATAATCCATCCTATTTCCTAGGCTTGATGCTGAATCAATATTTAACTGGACCTATGAAACCCAGTAGACAGAATAAACCTTAGACTGCTCAGGCACAGATCTAGGCTCATTTTTTTTTAAACAAGGAGACCTTGGTAAGTGTTCCAATATTTACGTTCCTCAGTTTCTTCCCTTGCACTTAGGAATAAAATGCATCTTCCTAGCCGGGCAGTGGTGGCGCACGCCTTTAATCCCAGCACTCGGGAGGCAGAGCCAGGCAGATCTCTGTGAGTTCGAGGCCAGCCTGGACTACCAAGTGAGTTCCAGGAGAGGCGCAAAGCTACACAGAGAAACCCTGTCTCGAAAAACCAAAAACAAAACAAAACAAAACAAAAAAAACCGCATCTTCCTATGGGATCATTATAAAGAGTAAGAGTACTTTTTTGAGTTCAAAACAGTGAGTTAGTGTGTGGAGTATTCGCAGAACAGTGTTAGCATACGAAGTGCTTTAAAAGGTTGGTTCTTATTAAGAGGACTTCTGTCTTTGTTGTTGTTGTTTTCGAGACAGGGTTTCCTTGTGTAGCTTTTGGTGCCTGTCCTGGAACTCGCTCTGTAGACCAGATGGGCCTCGAACTCATAGAGATCTACCTGCCTCTGCCTCCCGAGTGCTGGGATTAAAGGCGTGTTCCACCCCTGCCTGGCGACTTCTGTAGTTTTAACTCTACAGATTTTGTTTTATTTTGCTATGTTACATGAATTTAATCATTTGGAAAAGCTGTCTGTTATATTCTGAATGTCCCAACTGTAAGTTACTTACTTCTCTTGATTTATGTTTCTCATGGAAACTTAGTACTCTGGATGACATATCATGGCAATTGACAATTTTTGTATGAGTTTTAAATGATTGTTTCTCTCCTACAAGTATCTCTCAAAGTTCTGATAAAATTTGGATATTATATGAGTTCATTTGATGGTATGAGAATTGAACCTTCTGGCCTCATAATACTTTACCATCGAGTGACCTCCCTGACCTCATATTTTTATTTGTAAATAGCAAAGGATTTATTTTGGATATTGTGAATATAATATGACATCCATCCTTTCTAATTTTAAATTATCTGATTGTCGATAATTGAATTATTTCCCATAATATTTGCACAGGTTGTTTTGTATCTTTAGTTTAATACCAGTTGCTTTGATTTATGATTAAACATATCAATGGTGAAAGATCTTACCTTATTCAAACCCTCTTGGAAATAAGTTCCATCCTTGTGTGGGTTAGGATTTCAAGAAAGGTTAACTCAAGGGCAATTTCACAAGAAAGTGATCCTGTAGAAAACATCACTCTATTTTGTGGATAAAAGATGTACTGCCTTAACGCCTCCAATAGCAATATTTATTATGTTCACACTTGCAAACATTAATAAACATTTACCAGATTATAACATTGTCAGAAAGACAATTAAAGGGGACCTTTATTCAAGAAAAATTCTCATTCACATTACCATCCTAGGTGATTTACTTCCTCATAGACATAGGTGTGATTATTTAAAATGTAATTATATGGAGAGAGGCATCTGTCTGAACCAACCATACCTTCAAACTATAGACTTTGCCCAGCAGATGTTTCATGTAACATTAAAATTAAGTGTAACATTAAAATCAATTGAAAGGAAATAAAATACAAATGAACTTGGAAATTCATTGACTTTGGCTGTCTTGCTGTGATCTCCCTGGTCAAATGCGGAGTTACAGGAAGAATGGAGGTGCTACAGATAGCAGCTAAATGCCATCATTTTCTTCATCTTCTCTCCACCTTCCCAATTGTATGGTTTTCCTGTGTCTTTCTTACCTATCCTAAACTTTGTTTGTTTTTCTCTTCTGATTTATTTTCTTCAACTCTGGCAAAATACCATCAATAACAGTGACATTTCTCATTGTTCTTGGGGTCCAATATTCTGTAATTTAAAATTCCGTTCAGGATTTGAAAGTCACCATGAGGCCCCACAACACTAACTCTGGCAGATTATCTTACTGACTCTTCTGGTCCAAGGAATTTTTCTTTTCTCTGTTTTTCTCTTCAGCATTCCACGCTCAATTTAACCTTCTAAAAGCATTGTGAATGCACTGTAGCTTATGATTGAATCCCCCTTTCTATGCACAAACTCCACAGCTCACACCCAGTGCCTTTCTAGCTTCCTGGCACACAAGTGTGTTCTCATTTGCCATTTATAACTCAACTTTCAAATTACAAATCCCATCATTAAGTGAGAACAAGGGCCTTTCTCTTTATTGAATTCCTACTTCTGCCAGGAATCTTCATAGATTCTTAGTATAGATTACCTTTACTGAACTCCTAGACCACCTGGTAAAATACGTATTAGATTCAGATATGAACAATGAGGTACAGAAAGTGTGGATAGTTCGGCAACTCCAATCCAGTGGACCTATAACTGGTTCTTGCTCCTTCAGAACTTACAGAATGGCCTCCACTTGGGCTGCTTCTTGTGTCTCAATTTTGTTTTTTGTTCATTATCCTTTATAACAGTAGATTGGATTGATTTTAAAAAGGAAATTGGGACAATTTCAAGGGACAAAAACCAGAAAATAGGCTAACAACAGTTTTTTGTTTGTTTTGTTTTGTTTTGTTTTGTTTTTCGAGGCAGTTTCTCTCTGTAATAGACCTGGCTGTCCTGGAACTAATTTTGTAGACCAGGCTAGCCTGGAACTTCAGAGATACACCAGCCTCTGCCTCCTGTGTTCTGGGAAGAAAGGCATGTGCCACCATGCCTGGCACTAGCATCAGTTTTAAATCAAGTCTGATATATACTTATGATGGATTATACTTCTGCCATAATGTATTTGACTAGAATGTGTTATGAAGTATGTATTTATCAATATAAGGCATTACTTCTGAATGCATAATAATACCCTTATCTAAAGGTCTTGTTAATGTATCAGTTTTTGACCTTAAATAGCATCTCTCTCTAGGGCATATTGTGAAGCATTGCTACTGTGTGTGTCCTGATGACTCTGGAATAGTCATCAGCAATTCATAGGTGTCATGCAGGTTGTGATACAGGACTTAAAATATCCTTATTTTTCTTATTGTTTCTGTGCATTGCTTTTGAACAGGATTGTTTTACAAAGGTTTCAAAGTTTCATTGTACAAAAAGGAGTTTATTTAGATAAGGTACTGATAACACATAAGTTGCAAAAATTGCCATAAAATTTTCATTCTTGAGGAACAAATATTTAGAGAGTAGACAGATTTATGTTCATGTAGATTATGAGCAGCCCAGTCATTAAAATGTTTATGTATGTATTGTATACCAAACATTTTACTTTAATTATATATTAATTTTATTGTATTAAATTTGGTGTGGAATTTTCCCCTTTCAATGTCATGAAATGTTCCAAAAATTTTGTATTTTTAAACACTTTAAATTTGCAATTCTGTATTAATGGTGCTCAGCTAATCTATAATACATTCTACATTCTTCATTAAATATCTGATTTTGAAAATTACTTTTTAAATATTTTACTGTTTTATACTCTGTATCTGAAAACTTTGAAAATATACTTGAATCACTAGGCCTGAACAAAAGGGGAAAAATTTCAAATAACAACCCAACTTCTACTAGATTGATTAGGTTTAAGGGTACTGCCTCTGAAAACAGTACAATCAAATTTGGGATCATTTTTTTTCCTCAATTTTTTTTTTATTTTTTTATTTTTATAGAAATCTGAGCAGACGTTTAAAAAGGGACAACTACAACAGTCTTGTTTGGCAAAGTGGCTTAAAGTTGTAGCGCTCTGTATATACAGAGAACATCTTTGGCAGGATTTCATGTTGTCTAAGGCTCTAGGAAATGGTTATATGGCTTACTAAAGAATGTTTAATGCTCTCTGTTCAGTGAATTGGCCCCATAATGTAACCACGTTGAGTTTTACCAATTCATTGTGTGTCTGTTTGTTTATTTTAAAACCAAACCAAACAAAACCTGATGTGGTTGCCTGTAATCCCAGCACTTGAAGGTGGAGTCAGGAGAACCAAGGACTTACATAGTGATTTTGTCATATATCATATGTCATATATCCTCAGCTACATCGTGATTTTGAGGTCAGCATGAGCCCTGTTTAAAAAAAAAAGCCCAAATCAAAAACTGTTTAGAGTAACATAAAGAGAATACAATTTTAGGAGTGAAGTCATCAAAATTGTGATTTAGACAGTTCTTCAACTTGAATTTCAGTATTGAAGTTTTAGACAATGAACTGTACGAGTATCTTCTCATATAAATGTGATTATTGAATGATCTTATGAAATTATTAAAAGCAATGTATTTAATATTTAGAATACCATGATTTTCAACACTCTTTATTTTTAAAAATTATTTACACAAATGGTGATAAGTGGAAACATTTATTGTAATGCTAAGTAAACATTTTATTTGGGTTAAATGTTTAAACCAATCACACACACACACACACACACACACACACACACTCGTGTAAATCTTCATTTACATGTTAGTATTAGAATATTTAAATTAATTTGTCCAGTAGAGACAGAATTATTTTACACATGCTTGAGGCTGGGGTATAAACTGGTAATAACTGCATAAATAATGTCTTTCAGATTGCTTGTTCATTTTGTATATGATATTGTTGCTCATTAAAATGAAGAAAGAAACATGTTTTAGGCACCAAATACAAGAATTATTCAAGAAACTAACATACAAATGTCTTCATTGGATAACCTACCCTTTCTTTTCCTTTTTTTTTTCTTTTTTCTTTTCTCTTTTGCAGGTGTCTGACTTGGAATATCAGTGTTTATTTTTGAGGAATTTTTCTTTCTCTTGTGTTTGTTTTTAATCATTGATATTGGAATACAGAAGAGGAACCAGAAACATACTCATTTGGTTTCCCTTCAGAACACTCATTCTTGAGGCATTCTCGCCTGAGAACACAGCCATGTGGCCACCACAGCTGCTCATCCTCATGATGCTTTTAGCACCTGTAGTTCATGGTAAGTGCTGTTGATTTTGTGTAATCCTGTAGTTACACTGCCTCATAAAAGACCCTTTCTTTGAAATCTTCGCTTTGGGATGAGGTAGCCGTTTCTTACCTTACATTAATATCAGGAAGTACCTGATATTAATAACATATGCTCTGAGCTACAAATTCACAACTTTTCAGTAGAAATTCTTCAAGTCCCCACAGAAATCTGAAAGGAACCTAAAAGGTTTGTCTGCTTTTCATTTTTAAATTGAGCCCCTGCGTATTTTATGCTTTGATTTAACAAGATAGGGTGAAAAAATCACCCGGATAATTAATTACACTAATTATTTAGTATAAATTTAGTTTGCATTTCTTTTGTACTTAAAAACATTTTTACTGTATGAAAATGAGCATTTAGGGGAGAACGGAGTTTGCTTTCTCATAAAAAGCAATCTTTTGTTTCTGATCCGTGTTTCTTACTATATGTAATCCTTAATATACAAAGCGCAAACTGTGATCTCTTGCTAGAAACATACTGTTCTCATTACACAACTTTTTCAATATAAAGGGAACAAAATGCCAATGTTTGGAGAAAAATAATTTTATAGAAAATACTGGCCGGGCGGTGGTGGCGCACGCCTTTAATCCCAGCACTCGGGAGGCAGAGGCAGGCGGATCTCTGTGAGTTCGAGGCCAGCCTG